GCGAGCGCACGACGTGGCTCGGCAATTTGGACGCGCCGCCGCGGCTGTCGCGCAACAGCGCAACAGAACTTTACTAAAAGGCTCGTTTCCTTTAGACATAGCTCCTTCAAAGTAATAGTGAGCATTTTCCGCTTCCAAAGTTCGGTTCCCTAACACATGCTTGCTCCGCTGTGCTGGATCGCAGAGACCCCACGGTGGATCCGGGCCAGTTGCGAGCAGCTGCTTTTGCGAGCGGTGGCACGCGTTTGTCTAGGCGGGCAGGCACTGTCTAGCACCGCGCGGCGGGCGGGCACGACGCGGCGTGGCGCGGGACACGGGCGGTACAGTGTCGCGTGTTGGGTGTCGTAAGTTTTTCGCATACAAGCAATATGTATAATATTAAATGATTATGAAATTTCATTTCTGTATATAGACACATGTGCGACACATAAAGGATACATTCGTTCCAGTATGTGTTGTTCAGAGATTGCTGTGCATTCTGCAGATCAGGCACGGCACGGCATATCTTTTTTTTATTCGAAGCTTTGCACGGCATGGCGCGCCATGCGCGGCATGGCGCGGTGCGGCACGACGGCACGGCACAGCCTGGCGCGTCACCGAGGATGCGTTCTGGCAGTCACTAGCGGCACGGCGCGGCGCGTCGTCATAGCGCAAAATCTTTCCGGATCTACAACCAACCAAATTCCTTACAGCATTCGTTGTTTGTGGAATCGATGATTCTTGCCTCCTGGAGATTTTCTTGGAGCCGTTTTGGGTCATCTTGGGGGCATTTTGGGCCGTCTGGGGGGGCATCTTGGGCTGGTCTGGAGTCATGTTAGGCCATGTTGGTGGCGCTTTTGGCCTGTCCGGGAATCATCTTGTTCGTCTTCGAGGCATATTTGGACCATATTGAAGGCCATCTTGGGCCATCGTGGCCAGCTTGGAGCTTTTGTGGACGGGAAAGCGAGCACGTCTTTTGCAAGCGACAGGGGGCGGGGGATCTATCCCACCATAGTGTCAGGATGCAACTCCTGGGAGGTTCAATTTAGCATCGGCGCTGGTATATTCCTGGTCGAAACGGACCTAATCCAGCCTGGTCCCGCTTACTTTGGCCTCATCCGGTCTCATCCGGCTTTGTCCAGCTTGTTACTTGGTTTTCATGTCTAAATCATCCGGCATAGCGGCCTTTGGATAGTGCTTGGCAGCCTTGAGTCGTTCTCATGGAAGCTTCCCAGGAGTTGCCTCCTGGCACAGGTTCCTGGGGGCCTCCAGCAGAGGGGGGGCCCACGAGGGCCTCTGGGGGGCCTCCTGGCGGGCCTCCAGGGGGCCTCTGGTGTCGTCTACGGTGGGGGGGGGGTCCTGGGCACCCCGCGCTGGCACGCCGTTGAGGCCGAAAGGGACGAGCAGCAGTCTGCTCTGGGGGACTTGTGAGCCCAGGAAGACGTCCCAGAGTCCACAGGGGAACTCAAACATGGAGCTGGGCGCGTGCATCAGCGGCGGGATCCCTGTGCATGCCAAATTTCTGTCCTCCGTCGCCAACGCAGGCGACATTGGCGCTTTGCTTCCGGGGTTGCCTCCCCCGATCCTTGAACCTTGCGCCCTCGCGCCAGAGCCATGGAGCCCTGACCCATATTAGGGTGTGCTTCTGGAGGGGCCCAGAAAAAGGGTCCAGAATGTTTGGCTCATCGGGTGTCCTGACCCTTTTAGACCACTCCAATCTTCCAATTGTCCCAGATCTGTGAGTTTTGGGACCCTCTACTGCGTGCCCATGTCACGGCCGCAGATGTAACTAAACAGCGCGTCCTTGAAACTATTATAGCATACGTAGCACCCCGCAATTGCGGATAAGAGTGAGGGGGCGGGCGCCGATGGATGTTGTAGAGTCAGCGTGTGCCGGATCGGGGGAACGGCACGAGGGCGCTTTCACAAACCAATGCGAGCAAACCCGCCGCAGGCGCTGATTTGCGTGCTCTGACAAGTTCAGCGCGGGGGGGATCGCAGGTTGGCCACCCAGAACGAATGCAAAAACAGCCCGCCGCAGGCGCCGAAGTTTTGGCTTGTTCAGTGAACGTAGTTTGGGTCGCGGGTGGGTCGCGGGCTCTCCCTTTCCACCTGGAAGGAGTTCAAAAAAACAGCCCGCCGCAGGCGCCGAACCTTTTGATTTGTACACTGAACGCGGTTTCGGTCGCGGGTTCTCACCTGGTGGAACGAATGCAGAAGAAACCCGCCGCAGGCGCCGAAGTTTTGGCTTGTTCAGTGAACGTAGTTTGGGTCGCGGGTGGGTCGCGGGCTCTCCACCTCCACCTGGAACGAATTCAAAAACAGCCCGCCGCAGGCGCCGAACATGTTTATTTGTACACTGAACGCGGTTTGGGTCGCGTGTGGGTCGCAGGTTTACCACCTGGAACGGATGCAAGAGAAACCCGCCGCAGGCGAGACTATTTTGGATGGGTCGCGGGGTGGGTCGTGGGTGGGTCGCGGGTGGGTCGCGGTGGGTCGCGGGTGGATCGCGGGTGGGTCGCGGGTGGCTCGCGGGTTGGGTCGCGCGTGGGTCTCGGGGTGGCTCGCCGGTGGGTCGCGGGTGGGTCGCCGATGCAAAAGAAACCCGCCGCAGGCGCCGAAGTTTTGGCTTGTTCAGTGAACGTAGTTTGGGTCGTGGGTGGGTCGCGGGCTCCCCCTTTCCACCTGGAAGGAATTCAAAAAACAGCCCGCCGCAGGCGCCGAACCTTTTGATTTGTACACTGAACGCGGTTTGTGTTGCGGGTTGGTCGCAGTTTTTCCACCTGGAACGAATGCAAAAAAACCGCCGCAGACGAGCAACTTTTGGGTGGGTCGCGGGCTGGGTCGCGGGGGGTCGCGGGTGGTCGCGGGTGGGTCGCGGGTGGGTGGGTCGCGGGGTGGGGTCGCGGGTGGGCGCGGGTGGGTCGCGGGGGTCGCGGGATGGGTCGCGGGTGGGTCGGGTGTCGCGGGTGGGTCGCGGGTGGGGTCGCGGTGGGTCGCGGGTGGGTCGGGGGGGTCGGGGTGGGTCGCCACAGGGGGTTTCGGGGTGGGTCGCGGGCGGGTCGCGGGTGGGTCGCGGGTGGGTCGCGGGGTGGGTCGCGGGTGGGTCGCGGGGTGTGTCGCGGGTGGGTCGCTGGTGGGTCGCGGGGTGGGTCGCGGGTGGGTCGCGGGGCGGGTCGCGGGTTGGACGACGACAACATTAAACAACAAACAACACACAGCAAACAACAAAAACAACACAAACAACAAGAACACCAACAACAATACCAATAACAACACCAACAACAACAACACCAACAACAACAACACCAACACCAACACCAACAACCAAAACAACAACAACGCAACAAGAACACCAACAACAACAGCAGCAACAACAACACCAACGATAATCCGCATCGCGGAATTCCACTTCAGCCACGCACCCATGGACAACGAATGGCCGCTCGGTTCGGCCCCCACACTCTGACTTAGATGCTGTGCTCTTCGCACCTGGGAAGGCACGTTGTTCCGTGGGAAGAAGGAAAAACATTTCGTTCGAGCTCTTCTCGTTTGTTGTGTACAGTGAGTTGCGGCAGCATGCGCAATGAAAGCTGCTTTTGCAGTCGGCGGTCGGGCTTAATAGGTAGGTTTCAATGGCCGCATCCGTCTTGTGATGTCATGTTTCGGCGGGCCAGCGATGTTCATATGAGACCCCGGCTGTATTGCTCTCAGTGATCCAGCTGCCCACGGCAACCCCCCCCAACGTGCCAGAGCAGAAGCGCAGCAGAGGTTGAGTTCAAGACCCGCTCCATTTCAGTACCTTGTCCGTACCGGCGCGGGTCTCAAGCACCCTTGCCCTGTCCTCAGCACCATCTCCTCCCTCTTCCTCCGCTGCCCTCCTCCCTCCTCTCTCTTGAAAGCAGGTTTTAGGCCTCCTGTAGGCTGATCAGGGAGCTTTTTAGCGGCCTGTTATGGGCCGTCTCGGAGCCATCTTGGGCGCGGTGGTTCTTCCGAGCTCTCCCGATGGGGCTCAGTCGAACGATCTTGGGAGCGGCTGGGCGGGTGTTAGGGCTGTTTTGCAGCCCACTAGGGCTGTTCGTAGGAGGTTTCGGGCAGTCCTGAGGCCGTCTTGGGGTCCTCTTTTGGACGTCTTGAGCCGTTTTGGGAGCTTCTTGGGCTCTACTCACTGTCCTCCCCCCCTCCAAACTGGTCGGACCACTCTGCTGGGGAGCGATCTGGGAGGGACGGGGATCTCACACGCCGAGTAACCCCACCAGAGGGTCGGCGAACTCTACACATCCTTAAGCCACGCGGACGACCCCTACAAGAGGATTGTCTAGGAATCGTTACTTTCTCCTGGGTTGCTTGGGTGCCCCGGGGAGAGAAAATCGGAGGATGAAGAGCAGTAGCAGTGATTTGATTTGGAGAAGGAGGAGGAGGAGGAGGAGGAGGAGGAGGAGGAGGAGGAGGAGGAGGAGGAGGAGGAGGAGGAGGAGGAGGAGGAGGAGGAGGAGGAGTCACTGGCGTCAGGGGTAACGCGTGAGCTTCGACCTTGTTCTTCTGTGTTTGTGGTGCCTGCGAGTCTACAGTTGAACAGCACATTTCTCTCAGCGAGCTTGTTGGGCCGTGTGAGCGCTCGGTCTTGTTGTGGCCTCAGTGGGCGTGTGCCCGAACCCTGGGTGCAAGTGTTGGACTGTCTTGGGCGCTTCTGGTGCCATGTTTGGCCTCCCTGGAGTAATTGTCGGGACCTGGATCCTTTTTTGGGCTTGCCTCGGGGTCGCTTTTGGGGGTTATCATCCAGATTTATACGAGACAGCCGTGGTGGCCGTCTTGAACCGTCTTGAGCGTTACCAGTGCCCTGAAATCTTGGCGAGCCATGCTTGAGAGCCTCTGAGGGTCTGGGATGTGCGTTCGGCAGCTCGTAGTCCTCTTCAGTCCTCGCCTCCTCCGCGTTCTCCTCCTCCGCCTCCCTCCACGCCTTTTCCCCCTCCCCCTCGCTCCCCCCCCCCTCCCGTGCCCCCTGCTCCGCCCTCCCTGCTGCTCGAGTTCCTGGCCGCCATCCTCATAGTCACAGAACAGACCCTCCTACACTGAGCGCCTGCTGATGGCGCGCGGGCTGGTTGCGGCGCTGCTGGCGTTCGCCCTCGTGCACGCCAGCGCCCTCGCCTCGACGGCAGAACTGGAGGCGGACCGGCCCAAGGGAGCACGCCGGCGGGCCCGCCAGCGCAGCCTCGCTGCGGAGACGGCGGCCGAGGTCGCCAAGGCCGGTTGCGCCAACCTCGGCGGCGAGAAGTGGTTCTCGGACCCGCGCGGTACCCTGTTTCAGGTGAAGCAGGACCACTGCATGATCAGCTTCCTGCTGAAGAACCAAAGAGGCGTGGAGTTCACGAAGCGCGGCATTGTCAAGGGCACCAAGGTGTTTGTAGAGCCGCCTTTCCCCGAGGGCCAGGTAGTGGACGGCAGCGTCGCCTTTGATAACGGTGCCCGGTGGGAACGCAAGTGGTGAGCGTTGCGCCGTCGAGCGGCAATCGAAACTTGTCGGCGCCGATGCCGCCGCTTCCTCCGCTCCTTTCTCCCTCGCCCCTCCGCCTCTTCCTCGTGTTTCCTCTGCCTCCTCGCCGTCGTCGTCCTCCTCCTGCTCCTCTGCTTTCCCTCCCTCCCCTCCCCTCCCTCGCTCCCTCCCTCGCCCCCTCCCCCCAACATATCCCAACGTCTCTCTGGGTTTTTCGTTGTGACAGCTATCTCCGACTACTCCAGGACAGAGGTCCCTCTCGGGGCCATCCTGGGGGGCTCTTGGCTTGGGCCCCCTTGCTCGCTTCGAAGTTGAACTTGGGCCGTCCTGGGCGTACTTGAGACCGACCGGACGGGAATGCTAAGATTATTGACCACTTATTGTTTTCAGTCATTCTGGTTCCTTGTGGCGGCTCCCAGAGCCTCCAAAATCGCCCCAATGGCGCCGAGGAAGGATCCAGGACGGGCTCTGAGATCCGCTCAACCCCCAAACACTTACGATCCTAACCACATCTCCTACGCCTCAAGAGAAGTCATGCGACAAGCCCCGCAATCGCCCGGGAATGCCCGGAATTCTGGTGTCGGTGCCCCTTACAGGAGCTCGAATGCAGAGCTCGAACAGATGTGCCTTGCGGCGCGGTTGCGGATTATTCGGGAACGTCAAACGAGCCACTCGCAAAGCCGCAGTCGATCGGACTCGCACACAGCGCAGTAACTTCGATACCAATGGCCATAGCAGACTTGTTCGCCTATCTAGTGGCCTTCGGCCCATACCGCTATCGTGCCATGGGCCCACGTTCGGCGACTCTTGGACCATCTGAGAGGCCTCTTTGGACCCTCTTGACCTGTCTTTGGGCCCCTCTGGGCCCCAAGGAGCCATGCGGTAAAACACCGCGGGCGCGCCGGGAGCCCCAGGAGATTTGAGAATCTGGGGTCCGGGTCCCTTACAAGATCCTCAGGAGTGAGGACTGAGGCTCAGGGGATCGAGCAAGGGACCTGATGGGCACTCCAAGCTGTGCCTGGCAAAAGAGAGCCTTTTTTTTGTCCCTCGGTGATCACTGGCGTGACCAGGGGGGGCAGGGGAAGGGGGGGGGGCCGTCACGTCACGATTCGCGCCTGCGCCGTCTGGAATGCTTAGGGATGGTTGATGCCGAGACGGCGCCTGCGCGAATCGCGACGTGACGGGGGAGGAGGAGGAGGAGAGGAGGAGGAGGAGGAGGAGGAGGAGGAGGAGGAGGAGGAGGAGGGGGGGGAGGGGAGGGGGAGGGGGAGGAGGGGGGAGTGCGGGGCTGGTCACGGGCGTGA